TGAAAACCCAACATGAAACTGAAGCTAATGGTATCTTCAAAGATGTTACACCACTGGCTGAGCAAGTGAAAACAGAGATAGACAAATGGGACTATCTTAAACTAAGAAGCTTCTGCACCTCAAAAGAAACAGTGACCAAAGTACAAAGACAGTCTACAGAATGGGAAAGGATATTCACCCAATACCCATCTGATAAGGGGTTGATATCAAGGATACATAAAGTAGTGGTTGAACTCCACAAGAAGAAAACATCCAACCCTATCAAAAAATGGGGAGACAAAATGAAAAGAAACTTTTTCAAAGAAGAAATCCGAATGGCAAAAAGGCACATGAGAAAATGCTCTACATCATTAATTATCAGGGAGATGCAGATCAAAACCACAATGAGATATCATCTCACACCACAGATGCTGGCCCACATCCAAAAGAACAAAAGCAACCGGTGCTGGCACGGATGTGGCGAGAAAGGGACCCTCCTTCACTGCTGGTGGAAATGCTGACTGGTTCAGCCCTTTTGGAAAACAGTATGAACGATTCTCAAAAAATTAGAAATTGAGCTCCAATTTGACCCAGCAATACCACTCCTGCGAATATATCCCAGAGAGGCAAAAAAGTATAGTCGAAGTGACATCTGCAATTGTTTGTTAATTGCAGCACTGTTTACAATAGCCAGAATCTGGAAAAAACCTGAGTGCCCGAGAACAGATGACTTGTTAAAGAAACTTTGGTACATCTACTTCACTTAATCACTTAACTTCCCATTAGTCGTCGATTTGCTTGAGTGGGCGCCAGTAACGTCTCCATCCGTCCCTGTTCCGTGCCAGTGTAGCCCAATGGCATCTGTTCGCTCTGGGAACATGAAGAGCCTCAAATCGATCGTTCATGATCTTGATGAAGAAGTCTGACCATCTGGTAGGTGGGCGGCCACGCGGTCTTTTGACATCCCGTGGGATCCAGTCGGTAACAGCTCTAATCCAGTGGTCATCTTTAAATCTTATTATGTGACCAGCCCATCTGATTTTTGACACCTTGGCAAATGAGACAGCATCCCTGATTCTTGATTGTCGATGGACGTCGGAACTCCGGATTCTTTCTCTCATTTGAGTGAAACGTGATATTTCCAAGCATAGCTCTTTCAATTCCTCTTTGGGAGACCCGAATAGCATTCTCATCCTGTTTGCGTAGGGCCCAGGTCTCTGAGGCATATGTTAATGCAGGAAGAACAGTGGAATCAAAGAGATGTGCTACACAATGAAGTATTTCTAATGTAGCAGTTAGAAAAGATGAAGTCATGAAATTTACATACAAGTGGTACTACCTAGAAAGTATCATGCTAAGTGAAATGAGTCAGAAAGGGAGGGACAGACATAGAAATACTGCACTCTTCTGGGGAACATAAAGTAGCAAAATAGGAGACTAATACTCAAGAATAGCCGAAATAAGTACCAGGAGGTTTACTCCATGGCTTGGGAGCCACACATGCTAGGGGAAAAGGCAGCTCAGATAGAGAAGGGGGGACCAAATAAAAGGTGTTGGGAGGATCCTCCCAGGATGGGAGATGCATGCTGAAAGTAGAATACAGACCGAACATGATTGCCACTCAATTCCTCTTTTGCAAACCACAGTACTCAGAAGGAGAGAGAGAACAAAAGGGAATGCTCTGCCACAGAGGCAGGGTGGGATGGGGGGGATGGGGGTTGGGAGGGATACTGGGATCAGTGGTGTTAGAGAATGGGCACTGGTGGAGGGGTGGGTACTTGATCACTGTATAATTGAAACCCAAGCACAAAAATTTGTAAGTCTACAACTGTACCTCATGGTGTTTCAGTAATAAAAATTTAAAAAAGTCAATAATCGGTGCTGTTTGGAGATAAAGGAAAGTATATTTTCAGTCAAGCGTGAGTGGGAGGGAGCCTGGGAGAAGCCACAGCCATGATGCCCGGCAGCTGGTTAGGTGTTTAGCAACCCAGAGGAACCAGAATAGCCTCGGGAGTGCCCAGAAAAGTTAGGAAAACTGCAGCTTGGTCTTGGCAGACTGGCTTTGCAGAGTTAATTCTTTTCTCCAAAGCTTTCTGTGCGGAGAAGCAGTGCCCGCCAGAATGTGGATGAAACCTGCTGAGGAGTTCTCAGAGGAGGCCCCAGTGAGGCGAGTGGCCCGAGGCTCTGAGGCGCTCAGGGAAAGCGAGCGCCTTCCTGGGAGGTAGTTAAGCACCTCTCCACAGCCTTGTGAGAGGGGATGAAAGGGAATCTCAGCTGCCCACAGCGTCCACTGCTTCAGAGGGAGAGGCACAGGTTCAGCGCTCGGGGCCACCCGGGCCGGTGCCCCCCGCCCCGCCAGCCCAGCCGTCGCTCGGCGCGGCCCCACCCTCACGGCTTGGAGATTGGCGGGACCCTTTCCTTCCCCAGTCCAGTCCGCCTCTGGCCTCCGAAGCTCCACCCTCCGCGGGCGAGGGCCTGCTGGCATGCGCCAAGGGGCGCTTTCTTTTCTGTCATCTCTTTACCTCTCCTCCTCCCTTTGATTTCCGCTGCTGCTCAGGCAGGAGGGACAGGATTTCCCGAAGGTCTCTGAGTGAAGCTGAGGACACATTTTCCTCAGGGATGATGGCTGAGCATTGGCAGGACTGAAGAGAAAGGGAGAAGGTGGCTGTTTCCTCTCTCCCCCGGGAAAACATCAGGTGGGTGGAAATGGTGGCAAAATAAAGTCCTCTCTGGCACTGAGGGCAAGACCCGAAAATCAACCCTGAGGAGAGGAGATGCAGATTCTGGGCCTCAGGCGGGGGACGGGGAACCCTAAACATGTGTCCTTCCTACAAGGGTCAGCCCCAGGGTGCACAGCTGCTTGTTCAGAGGTCCTGGTCCAGAAGACATGTTTTTTGAAAGGACAAATCTGAGAGATATTTTTTCCATATTTACTTACTTAAAATTTGCTGGTTTTGACTTTGGCATTTAAACTTCGTTTCTGTCTATCTGGAAGGAGGAGGGAAGAAGCAGCCTTCACTTTCCCTGTCACAGGCGCGGGGACTGACCATGCGTGGTTGGGACCACAGAGGGGTAGACAGGGTAACTCCAGTCTTCTTTCCGTCCACAAACCTCATTCCCATAGCTTTCTGATGTGTCCATGTTGTCTAACATAGTGCCCCTGATGCTCCCTCCCGCCCCACCCCCGCCCTGACTCCCTCTCCTGCCTGGCTAGGATATAAGGGGATCACTTATCACACTGGGACTAAAGTTCAAGCACTTTACCTCCTGCTGCCTCTCACTCTTGAAACCCAAACCTTTGTCCAGCCTTGGGGCTCAGTGCTGCTTTTCTGCTGCCTTTCCCCCACTCTCTGTCCAGGAGCTCCCAGGAAGGCTCACAGGTGCCACCCCTGTCACCAGAGGGGGTGGCCTGTGGCTCATGCCCCACCCCACCCCCGTGTCCCTGTGGGTCCCGGCTGCAGGAACCCTCCTCAGCACTTTTTCTGTCCTGCTCCAATGCCCACAGGAGACAGACGTTTCACAGAAAAGCTTAAGGGTGACGGTGGTAAGTGCCAGGGAGAACCCAGGGTGAGGAGCTACTGAGTCTGGAAGAGACGCAGGGAAGTTCTGACGGAGGCTTTGCCCTCCCGACAGCACATGGACATCTCAGGAAGGGTCATGCCCAGCTTGCTGTTGCTCTTGTCCATCGTGTCTGCCCAGGTGTGACCCCGAGGACACAGGCAGCTGCTCTGTGCTGCAGCCACCAGCCGGCGACACCCCTGCTGTTGGGAGAGGCCCAGCCTGGCACGGGGGCAGCAGACAGGCAAGGCCCAGGAGAGTGACTGAGTGGAGGCTGGGCTGGGAAGCCATCACGGGGAGGAGAATCCAGCTTCTGAGCACAGGGCAGGAGAGAGCCTGGACTCTGACTGGGGTGCCTGACACCCCAGAGAGGGGTGGGGTGCACCCCACAGGGCTCAGGAGCATGGCTTGACCTAGGGTGGACATCAGGGCCTGCCAGGGGTCAGTGGGTCCCTGCAGGCAGAACTCACAAGGGTTGAAGGGCAGAACTCCACAGGGGACCTGGAGCTGCCCCAGGCCTGGCTCTCCCTGGTGACCCAAGAAGAGAAAGGGGGCTGGACTCAGATGTGAGTTAGTCCAGCTGCAGTCCACACTCTCGTGAGGTTTATGACTGCAGGACAGGGCAAGCCAATGAGGGCATGGCCACAGCCTGGCACCCTGAGGTCCAGGAGGCCCTGGGCAGTCGTGGATGCAGATCGGCGGCTAAGGACATCCAGAATGCAGTGGCTCTAGCAATCAAGACTCTTGTGGTGGTGGCAGGTGAGAGGACACGGGGTGGCAGGTGAGAGTCATGGTGGGGCTGGGCCTGCCCCTCCTCATGCTCAGGCCGGGCCATGGCTAGTGACTGGCTTTGATGCCTCCGCAGCTGCTTAAACACATCACCTCTGGAAGGGCCTTGCTGAGCCTCGTGCTGGGAACAGAGGCTGATTCCTGTCCCAGAGGCGGGTGAGGGGCACAGGAGGGACACGCAGTGTGGCAGCTGCACTGTGCACCTCATACTGTCCCAAGAAGTTGAGGACAGACTTGTTGGGGGTTGGGGGCTCTCCACTGAAGCAGATGTATCTTTCTTTAAATCCTTAAATGACCCAAGATAACAAGTTCGTGTTTTGTGGCCACAACCGGCAGTGTTCAGGGCTTACTCCTACCCTTGTGCTCAGGAATCACTCCTGGTGGTTTTTCAGGGGATGTAGGGGTTCGAACCTGGGTTTGCCCATGCAAGGCAAGCACCTTACCCACTGTACTATCTCTCTGAGCCCAACAAGTTTTTATTTTCGCAAGATCCGTACAGGCCCGAGGAAGTGCAGTGAGAAACCACTGGGTCCCACAAGACAGGCGCCTCCAGAATTCCACGAGGGGTGGGATAAAGGGCTGGGATTGACTGGCTTCCTGTCTTCCCCAGAGCTACTGGAAGGGTTTATAGCGACGCCAAGCTCGTGCACGCTTGATTCTCATCGAAGTCCTCCATGGCTTCTTATCGCATCCGCAAATACCAGGAGAGAGATGACAAGGGGGCCCGGGAGCTGTTCTTGAAGGCGATGGGTGAAAACATCTCTCCCACCTTCTATCACTGTCTGAAGCTGCCCCAGAATCTAGTGTTCCTGATGGGAGCGCTCCTTATTACACTCCACTTCACTGGCTCCTGGCTCCTGACTCTCCTGACTGGCCTCTCCCTTCTGGCTACCCTCCATTTCCTCGTCAAGCGCATGTGGAACGACTTTATCACCCTTACGTTGAACACCGACATGTCTGACATCAGCAAACACTACTTGAGCGGGTGTGGCTCCTGCTTCTGGGTGGCTGAGTCCCAGGGCCGGGTGGTGGGCACGGTGGGGGCTCTGCCTGTGAAGAAGCCTGCCCTGCACAGGGAGCACCTAGAGCTCTTCCGCCTGTGCGTGCACTCAGCGCACCGAGGCCAGGGCATAGCCAAGGCCCTGGTGAGGACTGTCCTCCAGTTCGGGCAGGACCAGGGCTACAAAGCAGTTGTCCTCAGCACCACCAAAGTGCAGTATGCGGCCCTGGGCCTCTACGAGCGCCTGGGGTTCCGCCAGACCCACGAGTACTTCTACAACATGTTCTGTAGACTGATCCAGCTGACCTCCGTTGAGTTTATTTACCACCTCCCCTCCACACAGGGCTCCAAGGGGCTGAGGCAGGAAGCCCTGTGATGGGGTCACTGTGGATTAGTCTGGAGAGAACCGGCTCGCTGTGGTCATAAGCAAATGCACTCTGCCAGCATGAGAGTTCCTCCTTCCGGTCAGTGCATGGCTGGGGGCTGGGGGGGGGGGGGGGGGCTGCTACACTCAGTGCTTAGGGGCTGTCTCCTTTCCTAGTGCCACCAGATATTGTAAACATAACATGTAAGCCCAACTTCGAATCTCTAATAAACACTGGATCAGCTCCTGAGTCTGTGCCACCATCAGGTTGGGCTGGGTAGCTCTTCTGGGCCTTTTCCTGTGTCTGAGCTGGCGCTGGACAGGCCGAGTGTACTTCCTCCTTTGCCCAGACTAGCTGGTGTGAATGTTACCCGAGAGGAACACAGGCCAAGCGGGAATGAGACGAGGGGAACCCGCTAATAGTTGCAACTCGGGGAGCAGGAAGGCTGAAAACGGGCCCCATCTTCAGTGAGGTGAGCTGAAGGTCATGGGAAAGGGGCAGGGAGGAGTGTGGGAAGAATCACGTGGAAAGAAGTGCGGTGAACAGTGCCTGCCATTAAAAAAAATTAATTTAATTTTGCTTTTTGGGTCACACCCGGCGATGCACAGGGGTTACACCTGGCTCTGCACTCAGGAATTACTCCTAGTGGTGCTCAGGGGACCAGATGGGATGCTGGGAATCGAAGCCAAGTCAGCAGTATGCACGGCAAACGCCCTACCCGCTGTGCTATCACTCCAGCCCCAGATCAGGACATTCTTAATAAAAGAACTAGAATTATGTGAAAACAGAGCTAAGGAAAAGGACTCTTTAGAATAGTGGAGTTATACTGGAAGGTCCTTCCAAAACAAATAACACAGGAAGTGAGCCGCCCACAAACGTGCAGCAGTAACACCCATCCAGAAACCCTTGATGGCAGGTTTTCATTTTCTTTGAGGCGCTACTGCAGGAATTTAACGCTAGAGTGAATGATCATTCTCTTTGTGGTAGAAGACATGAATAGCATAGATAATGATTCTTTAACAAGAACCAAGTGTGATGCTCTGAGAGCTGCAGACTAATTCTAAATAACTTTATTCTTTAGAGCAGAGTAATTGGAGAAAGGGAAGCTCCATGCAGGAACTTCTATTTTTTTCCCTGTAGTATGGGGGATCACTCAGGTCTCATGTATACAATGCATCACTTTACCATAGAGTCACACCATGGCACCCATGCTGAACATCTGCAGACTACTTAACATTTACTCTAATCCATCCTCTGCCCCAAAAGGTACATGTACAATAATGACTGCAGATAACTTGTATGTCATGGACATAAGGTCACTTTAAGTTTTGGTACAGGAAGCAGAGAATGCAACTGTTATATTACAGATGCCACACACATCTTGCTATCACAACTCATGTAAAAAGAATGGTTTGTTAAAAAATTACAAAGGCAGCCTAAAAGAAACATCGTCCATTATACTCGAAAGATGGAATAAAGTGCGTCATCAAAAACACTCTTCGAGGCCCACCAGCGCCATCTTTACCGCACACAGCAGCAAAGAAAAACCGCTGGGAGGCTCCACAGCTCCTGGAGAATGCTCCAGGTCCCAAACAGAGCCGAGATCACTGGGAAGTCCCAGATGGGGTAGGTGCCGCATCCCGCCTTCTCCAGATGGAACCCCAGTGACCATGAGCCTCTACAAGCATAGTTCAGGCATGCGGGAACCAGGACTTTTATTCCAAACTGCACGGCCGCTTATGCGGCTGTGCGACATCTCCTTATATACAAAGTGATCAATGGAAAGTAAATCATCCAACGTTTCTCCCTGAAAATCAGGCTTAACTCTTACAAACTACAACACCCAATAGGAGAGAGAGAACAAAAGGGAATGCCCTGCCACAGAGGCAGGGTGGGATGGGGAGGATGGGGGGTGGGAGGGATACTGGGATTCGTGGTGGTGGGAAATGGTTATTGGTGGAGGGATGGGCATTCAAAATAAAAAACAAACAAACAAACAAACAAAAACCACTCTTCCACATTTTTTAAAGTGGCTTTCCAGGCTGTAAACACTGACTCTGATAAATGGCTGGTGGCCTCCCCCCCAGTCTATAAAGCCAGTCCTCAGGACAGTTGGAAACAAGCAGAGACAGCTGTGGATCCAAAGTGCCTGTCTCCACAGAACCCATCACGAAGCTCTTGCTGTGCCAAGCAGTGGTTCCCAAGACCACGCTTCATTCCCAGAGCACATTTACCATGAGTGCTGTTTGTATTCCCCTGCCCTTCTCCTTTCCCTTTGTTGCTGTTGCTGTTGTGATGATTGAGGGCTGTGATGTTCTCTGAGGTCACACTTCAGGTGTGGCACTCACAAACCCAACTCGCAGAGCATCAGGACCAAGCTTACGGCATGTGGGTGGCACCTAGTGCTGATCTCATGGCCTTAAGCTTGCAAGACAGGTGCTTTCAGTCACTGAACCATCTCCGGGGCTTTTAAGGGCTGGAACGATAGTATAGTGGGTAGGGCATTTGCCTTGCATGTGGCCGACCCAGATTCAACCCCCAGCACCCCAATATGGTCTCCCAAGCCCTCCAGGAGTGACCCTGAGCCAGGAGTAAGTCCTGAGCACTACCGGGTGTGGCTCAAAAACAAACAAACAAACAAACAAACAAAAACATGTCCTGGCCTTTCACCTTGAAGGTTTCCTCCTGCTTTAGGGAAGACATCATCTAGCTGCCTGCACATTTACTGAGAGGAGAGAAATGACTGAAATGACCACCTGCTGCCTGCTTTACTTTGAGTCAATTTAGAAGCTCCTTATTTCCTAAAAAAAAAATCACAAAAATGTTTATAAAAAGGAACTCACTCTAGCGACAATGAAAAGTTAATAATTACATATAAAAATATGTATTAAATATAAAAAGTTAATAACAAATATCTCTATGGATTTGGCCACAGTGGATGGATCCCAAACCATTAAAAATCCTTTTTTGGGAGTAGGGATTGGCATACCTAGTGGTTTTAAGAGGTTATTCCTGGCTCTGTGCTCAGGAGTGACCCCTGGTGGTATTCAGATCATCATACTGCACTGCCAGTGATTGAACTAGGGTTGGCTACAATGCAGGGCAAATGCCTTGCCTCCTGTACGATCTCTATGGGTCCACCACCAATATTTTGGGGTGGGGAGATATCCAGCTATGTTTGGGCTTTATTTTTGGTTCTGGACTCAAGGATTACTCCTGAGTGTGGCTCAGGGAACCATATGGGGTCCTGGGAATTGAACCTGGGTCAGCTGCATGCAAGGCAAAGACCCTACCTGCTGAACTATCTCTCCAGCCCCTCCACTAATATTTTTTTGGGAGGGCCACACCTGGCAGAGCTCAAGGAAGGCTCCTGGCAGGGCTGGGGGAACCATATGGGATCCTGGGAACTGAAGCCTGGATGGTCATATTTGAGGCAAGTGCCCTAATTGCTGGGCTCTCTCCAGCCCCTCCACTAATAATCTTAATACCACTCCACACCAGACTCTGTTGCAGGTTACGATTCCTAAAACACACATGGACAAGGAATAAGCTTTATTATGTGAGACTTTATAAAACCACTCTTTTTTTCCAGATTGAGAAAATATATCACTCCAAGGAATCTGAGGAAAATCATCTTATGTCAGTCCCAGGGAACTTTTCTTCCCAAGAGATGATTAGTCACTTTCTGTGAAGGAGAAAAAAAAAGCAGGAAATAAGTTTGATATTCTCCCCATTAAATGAAGACAAATATTCTATACCAGACATGTTACTCAAGAATCTTCTCAGCTATATAGTAACTGGTGTGTGTGTGTGTGTGTGTTTGTGTGAGGTGTGAAATCTATATAGAAACATCCAACAATTTTTGGGGAAATTTTATAATTCCTATTATTTATTTGCTTTTAGATCTTTTTTTGGGGGGGTGGGCACACAAGGCGATGCATAAGGCTCAGTCCAGGCTCTGTGCTCAGGGATCACTCCTAGCAGTTTTCAGGGAATCATATGGGATACAGGGAACTGAACCAGGGTTGGATGTGTGGGAGGCAAGTGAACTACCCACTGTACTATCACTCCAGCCCCTCCAGTTCATTGAAAATGTCTTAAAGGTACCCATAAGTTGCATACCAACTACCTTCTGGGACTATAGATTCAAACTTCAACAATTCAAATAGATTTAAACGTTCCCACCATGACATCAAAACTAATTCCTAAGAAACTAGTTTTTAATCCAGTGCATGCATGAAAAGTGCTTGTAAAATTTATTCCTTCAGGGCCACAGAGATAATACAGGACAAGGCACTTGCCTTGAACCTAGCATAATGTTCTCTGAGCACCAACAGGTGTGATTCCTGAGCACAAAGCCAGGGGTAAGCTGTAAGCACAGCTGGGTGCCAAGCCCCTCCCGAATTTTATTTTTCTACCTACCTACATCGTGCTAGGGATAGACTCCAGAACCTCAGACAGGGAAGCGATGCTTTAGGATTTTTAAAGTTGTAGTTTAGTCACAGGTTCCTGTATTTTCCAGATTTTGGAATTGGAACTGGACTGATGCAACGTGACCTTACAATAATCTGTCCTCAACTCTAATTAATTCAAACATTTCAAATGTATTTCTCTCAGATTTCTCTTCCCCCTGACAAACTTGGTCAGTCCCAGTTTGAACAAAGAAAAAACTGACCTTTTTATATAGCTGGGCTCGCAGACGATAGGATGTATATTCTGATTTTCTCTTTTCTTCATCTCTCTTTCTCTGTACTTCTGGAAGCTGCTCATAAATCCTTGGAAGGGGCCCCGGTGAGAGAAACAGAAAGCACTGAGATTACCAGACTCGACGCACACAGCCCGTTCTTCCTAACTCTGCTACTCTCAAGGCATTGGGGCCCTCTCAGAAAGGCTCTGGGCCCCTGTGCTATGTTGTTCAGCTTCCCCTGAGACACTCGATCACAAAGAGCCCTGGCAGGGGTACACATAATCTAGAAGGGGAGAAGAGAAATGAAATATAACAAAACCCTGT